ATTATCAAACAAAAAGCACTGAGTGGTTTCACTTTTTTCAGGTCTAATTGCCCAATATTGCCTTTTTACCAGTATAAATTTGATCTTGGACTGTATTAAGATTGTATTAGGATTACCACAAGCAAACCTTAGTGTGTCCTCTTTCTTTTTGAATAAATAAATATATATTCTTATTTTTTTATTTAGCAACTTAATACTAAAGTAGTGGTGCTTTCGATCTAGTTATGTATTTGTTCATATCGTTAAGACTAATTATGAGCAGCAGTAATAGTGAGTCTTGTCTTAGTGAGCATCATGCTGATTCTGAGTGTTGTTGGGTGGGATCCATTAGGGGTCATTTCACCCAAACCGCTCTTATGTAGAGTATGACAGTGTTAACGGGTGTTGATGGCTGCTGTGAGAGTGATGTGCTCTGAGTAATGCACGCTTTACTTCCTCCACTGATCTCATGCGCTTAAAGAGGAAGTTATGCACTGATTCTACAGGCTACATGAGCGGCCAGCGCAAGCGTAGTGAATCATAGCATGATATGTCGAAATCTGACAGTCCTGGGGAGCTTGAGGACGTGGCCTCTAAGCATTATGGGAAAGTTTATATCGATGCTTCTATAGGAAACCCTTGTAAAGGGTTTGGTCTGCCAACCCTGTGTTCACCCTTCCCTCCCCCACTGCTTTCTGCACCAATCATTAAAAATCCCACGGGAGCCACCAACCAAGTAGATGATGAGAAGAAGAGATGAAAGATAAGCACTGAAGCTATTTAGAAAGCGAAAGTGGGAGAAATGGAAAGAGAAAAAGAGCAAGACAGAAAATAGTAGTATCAAACCCCTTTTTAACTCTTTTTTTTTTTGCCAGCCACCACCAGCATTTTTGATCATTTTCAGTTTTTAAACAAAAAATGACTTTTAAATGCTTTTAAACAAAACAATTTTTGTAATTGAATTAATTTAGCTTCATGCAATCCTTTTTTATCAATACTTAAATGTGGGCAAGTTTCATTAAAAGCAACATTTTGAACAAAAAGCAAAGAAAAATCAGGTTTTTGTGCGGATCGGATTCAGATTGATTATAAAAACATAGATGGAGTAGATCGCTTCCATCAACACCTCCAAAGCTTCACCATCCTAAACCACTTCCTGGCTCGACATGTCATTTGGTAACGTTAGGCAGTTTCGATTTATATGCTGTTTAATGTTTGATGATCGCATTATTTTACACATGCATCTGCTCGCTCGCTTGTTTCTGCTTCTTCTTCGCCTGTGTTTTGATCGAGAGATTCTGTACTCTATAAGATTATGTAAGCCGGAAAATTCTGTCAATGGCGGGGAAAATTGTTAAAGTCAAAGGCTATTTAATATTCACAAATATTAAAAATGACATTTTATTAAAATAAAATAATATAAAATAAAATAAAAACTTTGAGCACCTTTTAAAAACCGCTTGGAACATTTTACAAACTGCATACCATTGCTCTGGCAACTACCCAGAAGATTTTGCGTCACCTAAGACATAAACACAGAAAATATAACGTCTAGTCTACAATATGCCCTATACAGCCACTGTGTACAAACATATGCAAGCGTATATGAGAGAGATCTGTGTGGCCTTTAGCATATAGAACAATCCATTAAAGATGAGAAACCCTCCTCCACAGCAGACGCTGGCATTTCTCTCAGGATTAAGATCGCAAATTTGGATTGAAATGGAAAATGAAAGTGGGCGATGAGGATTAGGGGTCGTATAAAATGTGCTGTAGCTCTAATGACTGTCTCTAATAATCCAGCAATCATCCCTCACAGCAACAACACATCTAAAGTTCAATATACCAGCAGATCGCTGCGGCGCCGATATCTGCCGATGGGATTCAGAGCTTTAATATTCAAGGCACCAGCGGGGTTCTCTCGTTTGTAATACAGGCGGAAAGATTGGAGTTACTTTGTTTCACTTGGTTCACCGCATTTGTTCTGTTTGCCAATATGCCCTATACAGCCACTGTGTACAAACATATGCAAGCGTATATGAGAGAGATCTGTGTGGCCTTTAGCATATAGAACAATCCATTAAAGATGAGAAACCCTCCTCCACAGCAGACGCTGGCATTTCTCTCAGGATTAAGATCGCAAATTTGGATTGAAATGGAAAATGAAATGACTGTAGTACTGAAATGAAATGACTGTAGTACTGATATATATAACTGCTTTAGTTATTTACCCACAAAGTAATGCAAAAATACAGAGCAGGATGCATCCCAAACTAATCAAAATGAAGAAGAGCCTGGTATTAAAGGGTGTAATGCAAAGCAGAATAGTTGTGTACAGTATTTGATCCAAAAATAGACACTGAATTTGGTATATAAACCATTACAGTGTTGTAAAACTACTTTTTGTGTGAAAAACAGAAAAATCTAAAAATCTATCTTCCATAAATTCATTAATCTATCTATCCATCCATATATCTATCCATATATCCATCCATATAGCCATCCGTCAATCTATATATCCATCCAACCATCCTTACATACTGTATATCCACCCATCTATCCATCCACCCATCCATATATCCATCCATCGAACTATTCATCTATCCATCCATCCATCCATCAATCATCATCCATCTATCTATCCATCCATACGTATATCCATTCATTCAACTATCTGTCTATCCATCCATCCATCAATCTACATATCCATCCATCCATATAGCCATCCGTCAATCTATATATCCTTACAACAATCCATACATCTATCCATCCATCCATACATATATACATTTATCCAACTATCTATCTATCCATCCATCCATGAATCCATATATCCATCCATCCATATAGCCATCCGTCAATCCATATATCCATCCAACCATCTATACATCTATCCATTTATCCATCTAACCATCCATCCATATAGCAATCCATCAATCCATATATCCATCCATCCATCCATATAGCCATCCGTAAATCCATTTCCCCTTCAGGAACTCGGGAACGCCCCTGCGTGACCGCGTTCTGAAGCACATGTAAAACAGGGATGTTCCCAAAGCGAATCTCGACGCAGCGTCTCGTTCCCTCGGGGAACCATGGTTACATACGTAACCTAGAGACGTTATCCATATATCCATCCAACCATCCATACATATCCATCTATCTATCCATTTATCCATATATCAATCCATCCAACTACCCATATACCTGTCCATCTATTTATCCATCCATATATCCACCCATCCATCCAAATATCCATCCATCCATCCATCCATATATCCATCCATCCATATACCCATCCATCCATCTAGCCATCCGTCAATCCATATATCCATCCAACTATCTATACATCTATCCATTTATCCATATATCCATCTAACCATCCATCCATCCATATAGCCATCCGTCAATCCATATATCCATCCATCTATCTATTTATCCATATATCCATCCATCCATTCCTGGATGGATATATGAATAAATTCAAACTCAGGAACTGAATTGGAATATAAAAGGCTTTTGATCACACTGCTCTCCCTATGATCACACAACAAGCCGCAAACGACAGCAGTGTGACCTCAGCAAAACCTTAATGAAAAGAGCAACTAACAATCGGGAACAACCATCTGTCACCATAACCACACAAGAAATAAAGCTTCTTTCTGACTGTACAATTTTCCTACAGTCAAGAGTGCTGTAGATCTCAGGCTTCTGATTTATTGGCTTTCTACATCATGAGAAACATCAAATCCTAACAAAGGTTTATGAATGGAGCAGGACAGCGAGTCCACCCTCACTATAATGCAACACCTATTGCAGAAGCCTCAAGGATATACTATCAGGAATATGAAAAGAAATGGTCCCATGGGAGCATGACAAAGCCAACGGGAATACAAACGATTTCCATTACTCCTCATTTATGACCTGAAGAGCCTTTTCAAACAGACCAAAAAGCTCCTTTGAGTATCAACCAAAAAAATATATATTCATACTCATAATGGAGGGGCTCTACAGAAAATGTAAAATTAATGAAAGGCTACTTTGAATAATTCATACGCCATTTGAAAATTTGTTTGTGATTGAGTGGCAGAAATGTTGTGAAATGGAAACTGCGTCTCTGCCCTTTGAGTTCAACCTAATTTTAAAAAGCTTCACTGCATAAGAACATCCAGTAATCCCATAAAAAGGTTTTCATCCTCAATCAGTGCTCATGCAGAGAGCGTAATATTGTAGAGCAATGGATCTGGTGGGTCACACCCCAAAAATGAGCCTCGGGTCTGGTCTGATGGGTCACGGAAAGCAAAGGAAAAACAATGCTGAATGCCAATATAAAAATGCAAAAGATATAATCATGCATAATTAGAATAGCTAAATAAATAATAAATAAATACGCTTTACTAAAATAACGAAAACCACTGATCTAGAGCAACTTGGATTCCTTACCATCAGCACAATGTCAGATGCACACTGCAACAAAGAAGGTAAATAAACAGAAAACACATCTGCTTTCTGTGATACTCACAAGAAGAACTTCTCATCCCAGACCGGGTTGAGATTGCCAAAAATGGTTTTGGTCCTGCGTTTGGTCTTTCCCACTTGTACTGTGACGTAGGGGTCACTGGAGCCCGTCTTGTCTTTGGCTTGCAAACCTTGAGCACATACAACTACAGAAGAAAACACAGAAGAAAAAACAAAGTTTCGTGAATTGTGCATCCATGAAACAAACAAAACATTTGCATGGGAGATAAAATGCTGTTGTCTGAAGAATTGGACATTTAGACACTTGTTTTAGTACACAAAGCAATATAAAGAGTATTGAGAAGGATGGATTATGGCTCGATGCGATGAGGCCAGTGCTCTGACTGTAAGGGTCTGCGAGTTTGGAAACCCGCAGTGACCTGAAACCTGAAAACAAAGCAGTGCACAATGTGAAACTGCTGTCCATTGGTACCAGTGACTGTTAGAACAATGAGAAATAACTGAAGAAAAGAGAAACTAACTACACTAAATGAGGCTTCTAAATGCATTATACTGATGTTGGCTATGCAGACAATCTATTAAACACATAGTGACACCTACTAATTAACTGACACTATTAAACACCTACTACTTGATTTCTTATGCTTGCAATGTAATTTCTCATTATTTGGATATTACACAAATAAGACATCAGTTCATATCTGAATAAATAATACTGTACATACATTTTGAATTAATTACACCCTAGTTTGGTAGTGTTTTCTTGTATTAAGCACAAAGCACAGTAAATTCAGTTTTATTTAAGCTTAAGAAATAAATATATTACATTTAATTCAAGAAATTTAATAGAAAATGTAGTAAATGAAATATAATAGATTTAATTAAAGTAGATTCTCTGAAATCAAGTCCTAATATCTCATGCAATTTTGCCTCACAAGTATGTTTATTGTGTTTTGAGGGTGTTTGGATATTTTAGTTTTGTAAATCTGCAGCTTTCAGGCAAAATTTTGATATATGAAGTCAAAATTCAAACATTTTATGTCGCAAAGCACAACAGAAACAGGGAGCCTCCTAAAATGCTGGTGCCCACAGGGTTATAATAGTTAATTAAAACTAAAAACTTATATAAATACATATTATGGTTACATTAAATAAAATAAACATGAACTGAAATGTAAAAAAAACACATTTATTTTATTTCAGCTAGTTGCCAAGGAAATATTTCTCATTTGCAATTAGTTTAACTACTAGAATACAGTAGCTAAAACTGAACTACTAAAATAGCTAAAACTGAAATAAAAATTACTTAAACATATACAGACTTTAAAAAAAAAAAAAAGAAAAAAAAAGAAAACCAAAAATATACAGGTACAACAAAAACTAATTCAAAATATTAATAATTCAGAGAGCCAACGAGCCAGGGGGATGCCGAGGATCCGGGGCGAGCAGAGGGGCTGCCAGACGACAGCGGTGGAGGAGGCAGGAGCGGGTGGGAGTGCGGGCATTTGTGCGTCTCCGGGCATTCAGGGCTTAACTCTGGATCGAAAGCCTCCTCTAGGCTGAACACGGGAACAGGATGCCGCTCAGGAGGAGCGGACACTTGGACTGAGGACCAAGGTGGAGCTGGTGGGAGGAAGGAGCCCAATAGAACCAGTGGGACGGAGCAACGAGGTGCAGCCGGAGGAGCGGAGTCCTGAAGCGATGTCGGGTCGATGCCCGACCAAGGCGGAGCCGGAGGGACGAGGGAGCCGGCCCGGTGGAGCTGGTGTATCGACGGGTGACGGTGGAGGCGAGGGAGCTAGGAGTGGTTTCGAGGAGCGGGCACTGGAGGGCGCTCTGGACTGGATTCGGGAACTGGAGCCCTCTCCTCTTGGCTTTGGCACTTTCGCCGCACCATACTTGGCTCAACCTCAGCCGCGGTGCAGGGGGTGGAGCTCCTCTCCGTCCGCGGCTTTTTCCCTCGTGGCAGGCATTGTTGCCGGCTCTCGCACCTGGTCTGACGGCTTGGGCTCTACGTCCGGGGTGATCCTCTGCTCAGTCCCTCGGCATTGCACTGGCTCATAGATCGAGGCGGGAATTGGCTCTCCGTCATCGGTGGGCTCGGGCTTTAGCGCCGCACAGCGGGGAGATGGTGGGCTGGGCTCTGGTCCAGAGTGGCACCGGCGAGATCCCCCTCGGGACAGATAGTGACCGGGGATCCGTGTCTCGCCAGTGTCCACTCCACAAATGTGGCGAAATTTGCTCGAGTGCCTTCCTTGGACGATGGCGCTCTGTATGCGGAGTTTAAACTGGCGTCATAGACCGCACAGAGCGCGTCGTCCGGGTAGCTGGGAGGAGCGGAGTCCTGAGGCGATGGCGGGTCGACGCCCGACCAAGGCGGAGCCAGAGGGACGAGGGAGCTGATGGATCGACGGGTGACGGTGGAGGTGAGGGAGCTAGGAGCCGAGGTGGAGCTGCTGCGACTACGGGCCGAGGCGGAGTCCGGGCCTCGGAGAAGAAACAGTCTGGTATGGCCCTCGAGCGATCTCTCCCCCTGCTCCAGCAGGAGGAGGAGATATTCTGGACGAAGGAGGGGATCCATGAAGGAACACTACGGAAACAAAACACTGAGGGAAAAAACACGGAAACAAAAACGGAGGGAACACACGGAGGTAACTGTTTTTTGGTCGGTTCTTCTGTCACAATCTGTGATGGCGAGGAACGATGGAGACGAGGAATAAACGAAACGGTCTTTAATCCATGGAACACAGGATACATCAACACTGGAGACAGCAGGAAACACATCAACGTAACGAGTAGAACTGACAGAGACAGACTGCACAGACTAGGACTTAAATACAGGGGGTGATTGGGGAAACACAGGTGTATGGGATGACTAATCAAACTAATAAACAAAACGAGGACAGGAACATGACCAAATAAGGGAACAGAAACAGGGGCAAAACATGACACAGACAGTCCATGATCCTGACAGGGACAATCTATAAAATGATTTTTCAATGTTGTAAATAAAACAGACCATTGGTGTATGTTTTAAAAGTTCACTGTTACTTGTTTCTTTTTATTTATTTGTTAAATTTACTATCAATTTCCAAGTGAAAATAGTTTCTACACTGATTTTTTTTTTTCAGTGTAGGACCACAATCCATCCTCGAACATGAGTCGTGTCCAGTGTGTATGTGTTTGTACATACGGCACCCTTAATATCTAAAATGTCAATTCAAAACAGACGAATGTGCAATTATACAACATAAAAGCAGCGTGTAGCCTGACTGTGGCACTGAGCTCAGTCAATGGGGATGCCATCCGTCACAGAGCCAATAGTAGTTCACAGGAAGCTCTCGCCTCATTAATTATGAACGAGCAGGGTGCTAAATTATTCAGGGAACATATATCCTTGGGCTTGGAGACAGACAGAGATTGGTGCAATGTCACCGGGCCGGTTGAAGAGGGTAATATAGTTTAGCTAGAATGAAAGAAGGATGGCGTCTCTGAGCGTTTGTGTGTTTCCAGAGGCTCGTTCACACATTCATGTCATGTCAGCATGTCTCACAATGATGCTCATATTGTTTTTGTGCTCAAGGCACAATAATCTAACTCTGTACAGCAAAAAAAAAAAAAAAAA